GGTCTGCCTCATTTTTTTCTCGATTTTGATGCATGAAAGATCGCACAAAGTTTTTGACGGCAGTCTGGTAATGACTCTGGGCTACTTATTACATATTTGAATTGGGATATTGTTTGGCAGGTGAATTACCAATTCGTTGCAAACTTTCTGCTAAATTCTGATGATTCGCGGTGCATAAATGAGAGGATTTCCCTGTTATAAGCACCAAAAAATGCCCAACATTTTCATGCTGTAGTTTGATAGTTACTACATTCATAACATAATATGTTGAAGTTACGTCGGCGTGGTCTATCGTGGTCAAAAGGATATTGCTAGAAAAAAGATATTCGCTCAGCTTTGGATGCCGAAAGGAAGTTCTTCTTGTCAAATCCAGCATATAGGTAACTCCATCCTTGTTGTAACTTTTATACTATCAGAGCTTTTTGCTCAGGTATTTCATGAATATTGTTACTTGCATCTCACTTTGCAGTGTCACCACTGATTCACTATTACAGGCATATAGTCGGTCGGCTAGGTACTACCTATCTTCAGCATACCAAACGCCCCGCGCTTCGCATTTGGGATAGCGAGGTAGCGCGCAGCGCGCGGAAACGCAGACGAGCAGCAGAGACAGACCAGAGCCGACGGGGCATTTGGCTCTGGTCAAAGATCTCCGCGGGGTCTCAACGAAACTTTGCAACATTATATATCATTCTGATCGCCATGACATGACGAGGAGCACTGACAACGTCCCAAGCTTTTGGAAATTACTCATTAACGAGATAGACAGCGTTTTCGTGCGCAACTCTCTGCGCAAGATTTGAGCGCAGTTTCTCGTTTTTAATTAGCTCCAACAGCTTTCCTAAACTTCTGAAACTCTATTTTGGTCAAAAAGAAATTAATTGAGAAATGTTGTTCTGGATTCCGGCGAAAATTTTACAGAAACCTTCTTTTTTAATGTAAAAAAGGCTGTGAAAACGCAATATTCGGTTTCGATGAGATAACCTATAGATATTAATTCCTATATTTGCTTCAGTAAACTTCCGACACAACCAGGATAATAACATCCGGGGCTTCAACTTTTTCTTTCCAAGTGAAGGTCGTGTCCCCTCAGAGCTTTCGATAATGGTTACCAGAGTACGGGGCCTCTATGTATCGATGTGTATCGAGGGTATGCCCCAAAGACAAATGAGAAATCAATGAAGCAATGTTGAAGCAGGTTTTCCAGATTTAAAAATCAACAATCACAGTACATAAGTTTTACCAAAGAAGTTCCACGAAACGGTTGGTTGCCATATGTGAACAATCAGCTAATGCTAAGTAACGAAACGATACGAGTAAAATACTGCGAAGAGAGCTCTAAAAACATTATCTTACACGCTAAGTCAGCCCATCCGATCGCCGTAAACGAGCAGTATTGCGAAACATGTACGAAACGGTAAGAGAAGTCTGTGTGGGGAGAGTGAACGACAAGAATCCCTCGAGCTGGCGAATGAGATAGCACTTCAATGGCTACTCCTCCTCGGGGTCTAGACATTTCAAGAATAGCACAAATAATGACGATAGCCAAACTGGTTCCAGGATCTCATTAAGCCTACCATTCATTTCCGATAAGGTAGAGCACGCTTTCCACACTTGTAATACAAGCTCAGCTGCAGCAAGATCTCAGATAATCGCCGGGGACAAGCGGCCATGCGATTTATGGGCGGGCGGGCACCGGCAAAATAGTTTGCTGATTTCTTGCGGTTCGCTTGCAGATGTTTGGAAGAATTTCAACGAAATCTTAGACGAATGCTCGGAGAACAATTGCGATTTTCTTATAGATTAGCTGCGGCGCAGTGGCCGCATTCTCGCGGACTTTCCGAGAGAATATGCAAAATTTTCGAGGGCCACACGGTTCTTTGTTGAGAACCGCGCAGCCCCCAGGTACGTTCCGCTGGGAGAAAGTACCTCATACTTGAGTAATTAAACCAACAATGACACGTCTGCCACACAGAGTCTTACCTGTGCTCGACGTAAGCCCGAAACTGCGTAAAGAGAGTCCGAGCGCCTGCTGAAAGTTCGGCCAGCGTTTGCTGAAAGAGATTATTTGACGAGCGCCTGCGGAAAATTCTGTGTTGCTGTCCGCTGGCAGAACATTAGACAGTAAAGGTAGTACCGCTCGCTGAAGATTTGGCTACGCCCCAAAATTCTGCTGATTGCTTGCAGAAAAGCGCGAGTTTGCGGACCGCCTGCCCTCGCGATTATCTGAGATGTTGTTTTCGTGAGCATCGCTGGAAGCAACATCGAGCGACAGCTGGTGCGTAATCGTTTATACGATACAGCTTGTGTTACGAGGGATTGCGTCGTTTGCCCTTACGGAAGAATGGGAGACTGTACTAAGTTTGGAGTCGTCGACGAAAGTGAATGTCTAGAATGCCCTACATAGGGAAGACTGGCCGGCAACTCAGCGTGCGTGTCAATGAACACTTGGCTAGTAAGAGACGAGGAAGCATGTCAAGTCCGCTAGAAACACAGGAAGGTAGAACATCACGGCAATGACTTTGATTTCAAGTGCATCATTCTAGCTCACAAATCAAGGATCGCTGCTCGCAAAGCTTGAGGCCTAGAGCAACTATATCTCAAACTTGCCGACATATCTGGCTAAAGCCGATTCATTCATAATCATCACCCTCGTATCCCCTATACCAACTCCTAGCTCAAAATATTCCAAAAATTGCTGAAATCGATAAAACAGATTTCGGTCTTAATTAGCAACCTCATTCACCTCCTGTACCAACTCCCAACCTCGTATCTCAAGATTTTCCAAAAATCGACAAAATCGATAAAGTAAATTTTTAGTGATCAGCACCCTCACCTACCCCCTGTGCCAATACCCAGTACCCAGCCCGTAGCTCAAAGTTCTCCAAAACGATAAAATCGACTGAAAAAATTTATTCATAATCAGCACCCTCACTGACCCCCTGTGCCAATTCCCAGCCCGTAGCTCAAAGTTCTCCAAAACGATAAAATCGATAAAATAATAATTTATTCATAATCAGCACCCTCACTTACCACCCCTCCCTCTTTGTACCAACTCCCAGCCCGTATTCATCGGAGACTTTCGTCTTGTGTGGTATGGGCTAGTCGTAGACGAAGGCATGTGGTTTATTCCGCGAAGCGAGCACGAATGCCCCTACAGCCCCGGGCATTCTGCAGGCATTTCAGTAACGAGGTCCTTTGGCAATCAAAATGTTCATAGCTTATCGTTCTGATTTTAAAAGTAGAGAATGCAGGGCACTTATCTGTTCAGAAAGTTGTACACGCTACACATTTGTGGTAGGCTGGCGTTACATTTGAAGACATCTCGTAAGTGGCAAATCGCTTACGGCTATCGCGAGAAGTATGGCGTAATCAAAGCTTAAAATTCTCAATGTGGACCTTATTCGTCCGCCTTTAGCTTTTACCATAGTTGGTAGGCTGATAGCTCTTGGTGTTAAAGTGCTTGCAAGCCTTCGTGAAAATCTTGGATGCACTGTGATAACAGAACTATCATGTACTATCTACTAAACAGAAGTTTATTGCAAGGTGATTTAACTGCAAAATTCAGCAACCGTCTAATCCTCCACTACAACTGCGATGTCCTCTACTCAAAATACACAAATTCGCGAGAGAATTTCTAAGATAGCGAATAGAGGGCAGTTGTGCAATTTAACTTATGCGAGCAAGAATGCTCATTGGTGTGGGCTTTGCGTACCACAAGCATGAGCAATAGAAAGAAAAAAAGGTATTTCAAAACACTTTCAATATATGAACTCGGAACATGAGCTTGAATTTGATAGCTTCTTTACTGATTTGGTGTCAATAGCAGTGCGAACATCTCATTGATCGAAAAAGCATCAATTAAAATCCACATATGATTTTTTTACTGTTGCAAGCAGTCGGAAGAATGCGACTTTCCATACAGTTCAAAGGTCATAATGGTTGCAAAAGATGCATTACCGAGTTTTGCGAAAAAAAAAACGCGGACGAAGTGAGCTTGATACTCAGCACTTGGCTCTGCAACAAAGTCAAATAATCTCTAAAAATACGGAGTTTATTCGAATACGAATTCGATAAACATTCGAATAAAACATTCGAATAAAATCTATTCGAAACCTCGTTTTTTGATTATTCGAGTTTTCGAATAATATTCGAATCCTCGTTTTTTGATATTCGAGTTTTCGAATTTTATTCGAAACCCCGTTTTCTCAATTATTCGAGTTTCAAATATTATTCGAAAATGGAAAAACTCCAAATATCGAATTTCGAATACGAATATATTCGAATGTTTTGTTCGAATGATCGAATTTCTATTCGATTCGGACCCAAGTATAGTTACCACCAGTGATTTTTGAACATCTGTCGTCGCGTTGTCGGTGAAGATCTTGTTACGCTACTCAAAACGTAATATCTCGGCATGTTTGCCCCGAGGCATCGAGCTAAGCTAGTTGAGAAGAAAGATTTGATCGTTCATGGTACAAAACAGTGTAATGAGGCTTTCTTTCAGTTCTCTGAGGAAGGCATCATTGCCGAAACGTTAGACTACAGATCTAACAAAACTGCGTGGCTTAAACATTATATCATTAATTCAAGACAATGCGCAGGTTTTATGATTACAGAACATATAGAATATTGCAAATGAAAAATTTTCCTATTCTGTGAAATTTTGACAACCATATCATATACGTCTTTTTCACTACATTTTCAAGGCTCGAATCAAATACTAGAGTTTATGCACTATTTATCTGGAGAAATTTGCTGCTTTCTTGACACTTGTGGCGCATGAGCCTTATAATAAAAAGTGGTTTTTGAGGCAATTGTACTTTATTGTTACCTGAATCATAAAAATGCTTGTTACTTGGATTCGCATAAAAGGTGACAATGTCTCCAGGTTTTGACAGCACTCCTATTTTTTGAAACTAGGCTAGATTGGTATTGTCATATGGAATAAATGCAGAGAGCAGGGCGAATTCTAGTTCATAACCGCAAAGCAAATTTACCTGTCGTTCGCAACTTCATCCTCTCAAAATTCCCTCGATAGATTTTGGTTGAATCCACAGCAGTCCGTGATGAGAACAACAATTTTAAACAATTCTGAAATTATTTAGTAGATTTGATTACGAAGTATAGAATTCAAAAAAAACAGAAAAAAACAATGTCAAGGTGCATCGTGATGAACTGTCCTTAAAATTTTCTTTTAAGTGATTTTGTAAATGTCCAGAAAAGAAAAAATCCGAAACGGTCGACACAACTTATGAAAGTAATCCAAAAACCCTTTGACATTCAAAATTGGCACTACATCATAACACACATAGTACAAATTTTCGTGTCTCGCATGAAAAAACCATCTGCAGCAAAGAGTTTTTGTTAGGGAACGGCCATAGGTTGCCGGCAACGGTTGCGAGGTTGCCGGGCCTGCCAAGGTTGCTGGGGATGCCGAGGTTGCTGGCGCTGCCGACTGTGCTGGGGTTACCGGCGTTGCCAGGACCAGAGAGAGCTTAAAGTGCGCGCGAAGCGCAGAGGCTACCATGAGGTCCTACAACGACCGGCAACGCCAACAACCTCGGCAACTGTTGCTGGCAATCTATAACCATTCCCTTATCCGCAAGTTTTGGAATGCAAGAATTATCAAAATACAGCATTTACCATCACATCATGGCCAAGGCTTTACCATATATACGAAATTTGATTAACTTTTTCGTTTAATAGGCTGTTATTTCAAGATGTTATCAGGACCCTATAAAAAATTTCTGGGTAAACTTATAACTTTTGAGTGGTAATGTGAAATACGTGTAAGGAGCTGTCACAAACTTATTTTCGTTTTAAAGTTAAACAGGTCGTTGCAGTGGCTGAAAAGATCCAAATATCTGATTCATCATACAGGGGCTCCCACAAAAATGTTTTCTAGTTAGTAACTTTTCTTGGCTGTACACTTTTTCAAGTAGCATACTGAAGGGTTGGTTTCGGATTAGATTTACGGTACAAAATAATACACACACTGCTCTTTATCACTTTAGATTTACGGTAGAAATCCCCAGCACAACGTAATCATTGTGCAACCGGCTGCCACTCCAGAAACTTTGTAAATGTTTAGAAGTACGTGTCTTGGCAAAAATGAGACAATCCGTTTCTACAAAATAAGTTTATAACTACATGTTTTCACAGTAGTCTAAATGGCATTGCCGAATTTTTGTTGATTATGGAAAGTACTGAGATGAGAGATTACGACAGTTGTAGCATCTTATATATGACTTCGAATATCTATATGCACGTGGCGCCGTATTATAATATATACACATATCAAATATAATACTATAGTATTATATTTGATATGTATATATGTTATGATATCTATGTGTATGTACGTATGTTGCATAATCTTATATATAAAGCTGAATGTCTGTTTGTATGACTGTATGTCTGTATGTCTGTCTGTCTGTATGTACGTATGTCCAAATAGAAAATTCCATTTCTGAACCGATCCGGACCAAACTTGGCACACATACACTTCGAGCCCTGGCGGGTGTCATAGGTTACTTTTCGCATCGATCGATATCGACTTCATCGATTTTTATCGATTTTTTGCAGAGTTTACCTACGGGGCTGGGAGTTGGCACAGGGGGGGTAATCAAGCATGGGGATTCCGAATACATTATTAGTTTTCAGGATTATCGATTACTTTTATCGATTTCACCGATTTTTTTGCAAAGTTTGAGCGCGGGCTGGGGGTTTGCACAGTTGGGTAAGTGGGCATGCTGATTTCGAAAACAACACAGGGAACGGGAAATGAAGTGTGGAAGTGGGCACAGGGAAAGGCTTTACAGGGATAGGGATGTGAACTTTATTACAGTGTTTTAACAGTTCCGAGTGGAGCCCGGTAAGCAAGCTAGTAATGTATATTTATGAACGCTTCGGGGCACACTTTGCACACATACACTTTAGGGTGGAGCGGCTATCATAGCTGCATATCAATATCAAACAATATCGATGTTTTTTTTTTTGCAAAGTTTGAGCTGGGAGTTCGCATAGGGGGAGTAAGTGAGCATTCTGAGAATGCACATGACATAGTTTTTTGAAACTTTATCGATTTTTACAAAATTTGAGACGGGGCGGAGTTGGCGCAGGGGGGGGGGGGGGGTGAGGGGGGGGGGGGGGGGTACGTGTACTTGCTGGTTAGGGATACATCATTAATTTTTGGAATTATCAGTTAGCTTTATCAAATTTATTGGTTTCCTGTAAACTTTTAGCTATGGAGCTGGGAGCTGGCACGGAGGGGGGGGGGGAGGGTATTGAGCTGATCATGAAAACATAGCGAAGGCAGGGTATCGACATATAGAGACGGGAACGCTACAGAATCCAATTTATCGTAGTGTAAATCCTAACAGGATTGTAGGCAGCCCTTCTCCCGCCTCAAAATTTTGCTTTCCACTTTTTCCACGTGCACCCGAAGGCTTTTCAGCGCCTGGAAATGGCAAAAATAAGTCTTTTCAAAACTTTCCATGTCCGCATTTAATGAAAATACGCCGGAAGCTTTCGCACCTTGCCTCTCTTGTTCCAAGCCCCGCATACTTAGACGTATTTTCCACTGAATGCAGGCCTGGAAAACTTCAGGAAATTTTTTTTCATTTTCGATTTTCATGCGACGAAAAGCCCAGATATCGATTTCTCATTGCGAGAAGGCTTCGAAAATATAAAAAAAAATGGGGGAAAACGAAATTTTGCTGATACTGCCCTTAAGCGAAGTTGGTTACGCCAGCTAATTTGAATAAAAATTGCGTTAAGGCAAAAAGCTCACACACATAGAAACAATGCTTCGCTACTTAAAGGCAACGTCCAGCAAATCTGGACATATGGGGCTCTCACAGGTCCCTAATCTTGAGGCTACCTAAGCCACTGCCCAAGCAGCAGCTCAGGTAGTGCTCTAACGGCTGAGACATTCACCTCGAAACTGGACCCCGAAATCGTATTCGCATGGATTCATGGCAGTTTCGCGCGAGGATCCACGAGCTGCGCCATTCCATGCAAAGTACGATCCCAGGGTCCAGTTTTGAGGGAAAATCTCAGCCGTTAGAGCACTACCTGAGTTGCCGGTTAAGCAGTGGCTTACTTAGGGCCCCAGAATTACTATCCACGTGGATCCCCCACGGGTCCAGCCTTGCCTGGACGCTGCCATTAATAGAAAAATTTACAGCTTTTCGAACTACTTTTTGGGTTGTGCTCTCATTCTCTTCAAACTACTTGTTTTACCGTGAGAAAAAAAGCGACTTCATGTTCAAACAAGTCTTCCCGAGCGCGCCTTCTTTTCTATCGTGTTTAATTCTAGGGCCAAGCTAAGTTAAAGCGGAGTGGTTAGTACGCATTGCTTCCAAGGGCCATCGAACAACGGGGTTTTCAAACGGTTTTGGACTCAAATGTTACGAAGGGCGGGCAGACTTGTTATTCGTAGAATCATACCCTCGATACATAGAGCCTCGTACTCTGGTAACCTTCACTTTAAGCGAAATGAGAACATAACCTTCACCTATGGCCGTATTCATCGAGGAACGCTGGGGGTTCCAGAACCTTGGGTAGGCTCAACCCACAAAATTGGTATTCAAGAAACTAGTGGGTTCCGGAACCCAGTGGGTCAAGCCTACCCAGTGGGTTTCGGAACTTACAAAAAGCCACTTAACCGGTATTCAAGAACGAACCCAGTGGATTCGCGAACCCAAAAGTCAAACATACCGGTATTTACGAAACAAATTACCCAGTTCTTGTGGGTTCCGGAACCCACTGAGCGTTGGGTTGGCGAACCAAGCATGGTGCAAATTCCTTAATGGGTTACATGCAAACCTGGTCCTTTTGCTGAATATTGTATGGATTTACATAAGAAGGGACGGTTACTGCTTGCAACATATATACATTAATAACACTTTCCCTACTTTTTATAACTGACAGGATTTTTGTTGGATAAATTTTGATAAGATATTCCTTGAGATGTAGGACTAACAAACTTGATGCCAGTCGCAGTTTGGCAATCTTTGAAAAGTTGCAAACAGGCTTTTGCGGGAATTTTTTGTGAAAGAAAAAAAAACCTATGCATTTCCCGATGTTTGTGCATACTATCTCGGAATTTTTCTGATACTTCTGCGGCTAAAGAGGGAGCTTCATATAGGAAGCAGAGCGTCTGCCTGCATTTGTGTTAAATCCTCACTTAGCTTTTGCTCAAGACGTATCAAAAACCTTGGGGTGGACAAGAGGCGAAACAAAAACAATAAAGCATACCTTGAGGAATAAACAAATGAAAACTTTAGAACAACGACGACGCCGCAAATCAAAAATACGGTCAGAAATGAAAGATTCCGATTTTCTTAGGCGTCAAATCAGGCACGAAATTCGTATTTTACAGGTAGTACGTACTTTTTATTGCTGACGCCTGAGTCAAAAAGCGATGACATTTTGACCGAGATCAAAACAAATATCAAAGAACGTGACACAAATCAAGCAAAACGACTTCGGCGCTCACTACGAATGCCACTTTGCAGCTGATGGTGAGAATTCCGTTTGAAAGGCGTACATAAGTGAGAAATGATAATGTTGTCATTGATTAGCTCGTGTGTGATCATGGGTGGTGAAATAGAAACAAAAAGAACTTTACTCGAGTGAGATTTGAGTAAGTATGGAATAAAAATTCGAAATTAAAATTTTTTTAAACCTTGGTTAGCCCTAGAGTCCCAAATTATCAAAAGTTTTGAGTATTTCAGAATCACAACTCAAAGTATGTCAAACAAGGAAAGCATGCTTAGTTGGAACGGCCTTTCTAGATGCAATGTATACCATAATGAAAGGCATAAAATGCTGTTTCCAAATCTGCCTTCTTCATCCGCAGAAAGTTTATGAATGACGAGCTATGAACGCTTATTGGAGCAAAAATTGAGTGTGCAAGTAGGATAAAAACAGCCGTAATACTTTTTCTAGCTCTTCACTGGAGCATTGATAATCATCAGAACACTTTATCCGAAAGTGCTTGAAATAAACTC